GATCTACACAAGATCTCACTCACAGCAGCAGAAGATAAATGCAAGACACTCTCTTTACACAAGCCCCTATAGCAAAGAGAAGAGTACTGAAGCTGGGAAGTGAAACACACACAAGAACTCAGAAGAACAAGTTTGATTTGAAAATTTTCTCAGGAAGAAACAGAGCTCTCTGGTTCTCTTTCAAAACGTTAGGGCTTAGAGAAGAAGAAGCAGGCTTGGGGGTTTTTATAAAAGAGTTTAAATCAATAAAAACAAAAACCCAATCTTCCTATTTAGGAAGATAATCTACTTTGCAGGTTGTGACCTCAGACTGTGCCAATCACTAATAAGTGAAAGCACAAGAGTCGAGGCGAGAAACGACCGTTTAAAAAATCGCGGCTGACCAAATCGGTTGACCGAAGAAATAATCGGTCGACCGAAAATACCGTCGGTCGACCGACCGAAAAATTCGGTCGACCGCGGGCAGCTAAAGAAATTTGGAAAAACAAGCAGAGCCTCGTCGGTCGACCGGCACGGTCGACCGATTAGAAGATTGAAAATTCGGTCGACCGTATCGGTCGACCGACGACAATCTGGAAAGATACTGAGGAAAGGTCATAGGATCGGTCGACCGGGCCGGTCGACCGATTTCTGATATTTTCCAGAAAACAGATTTTTGACCAACTTGAAATATTTGCAAAATATTCATTTGACCTCTGAAAATTCTAAAACTTTGTAAAATATTTTTAATACTAAAAACAAACTGTTTGGAAAAAGAATTTTGCAGATAAGTACTCATACTTGTGAAAAATAGTGTTTTGTGAAAAACGCTTAAAAGACAAGTCTAAAAACGTGTGTGTGATTCCCAATAGCTTCAAGTAAACTCAGTAACTCTTTGCCTACATTCTAGCACTAGAGAGAAAAACAAAAGAAAGCTAATATCCTCATATTAAAAGCAATACTTGAGCTTTGTGATATAGCTTGAATCGGATGAAGCTTTTATATGACTTTGTTGTTCTTGAAATAACGTTGCTTCATCTTTTTGGCCTCCTCCTCCTTTAGATGTCTTCGTTTTAGCGTATATTCCATCCATCCTCCGTTAATGGCACTAACGAGCTTGACAAATGATTTTACTAAATTTACACTCAATAAGCCATTAGTACCGATAATGGTGGTTGTAAGAACATCATCAAAACATAAGGGCTAACAGTATAGATATAGATATAAATGATGATTAGTGAGGTTGCCTCTCTTAGGAATTGTCAGTCCATTTCAGATTTTTAACTCCTACACACATTGCAGTATTTGAGAGCATGGTTTCTCGAGCTAGTGATGTGCCAAGAGCATAAATAATACATCAGTGGCGAGAAAAGAAAGGTAGTATATATCAAATAATCGTGCCTTAAAAATATATTAAAGGATATAGAGAGATAAAGCACCCTAGAGTGGAATAGCACAGGGACTCAAAAGGAGTAGAAATACAAAAATGAAATATCGTCTTAAATAAATTCAATATAGATTCACTTTTTGCTTATCATCAGAGAACAAAGGTTATGAAAATGCTCAATTATTACCTTTTTCACTAAAATAGTACCTAATAACAAAACGATCAACTGATTTAATAACAGAAGTTTATGTAGCAATCAATATTCGATCATAAGCATAAAACTCTGTTTCATCCAAAAATTCGACTCAACATTGCTGCTAAACGAACTCCAGCTTCAGCTAAGCTCAAGCTCACCACAGACATTCTACTTTCAAAATACTCATCTGTAATAAAAATTTCATTTAATTTACATATAGAAATAGAGAATTATATTATTAGTTAAGATTATTGTTCTGGGTTTTTATGCCCCATGTTTATGTTATGTAATATTTTTTTGGTGTTTTTACTCCTGCCACTTATTATATGGTTTCCACATAAAAAAATGAAAGATGGTTTTTATTGATTTGACCTATTTTAAAAGTGGTTTTCATGGGAAGAACCGTAATACTAAGTCCGTATTTTACCACAAAGTGTTTTCCCTTTAAAAGGTAAGTGTCTACAAAGAGCACATCCTTAATAAGTATATACTACCTAAAATACATTTGTACAGTTCTATTTCAATATCATAGAAAACATCTACATGAGAAGAAAGCATTATTAGCACATAATTTTTTTTGAGACTATAAGATTAATGGTAATTGAAAAACACTCAAAGCAATAATTTAGTATATGTTGGAATTATAATTCTCTACTAATTACTAAAGCGATGAAAACATGTCTTTATTCAAAATATAATCAGAGTCATTAAGCAAAAATTGGATTACACAGCCATTAGCTATCCAATGAATAAAGAAATAATAAATAATCATATAGGAATTCAAGCTAACTTTTTGCATTAATCAAGTTGATTTATCCAGATTTTTAAGTGGAGTAGCAAGAGCTCTTTGGTTAATTGGATGACCCCTCATATACACCATAAGGGGTCTTAGAAGTGTTCTTTGCCTACCTTCACATACTGAAAGTAGAAAAATCCAAATTATACTTTTGAAAACAAAAAACTAACAACAAATATGAATGCGAAAGAGTGAAATGTGTGTTGTTAATAGTAAAAGTTGAGGAAAAAAGGATCAGGAATATTAAGAGATGTGTCCACATCACTACCAAGGATCCTTGGTACCAAGTATACCCATTTTTCTCATATATATATATAGATATATATATATTAGGCAAAACAAGCTACACTAATAAACAAATAAGATTAAGAATGTACTAGGATAAAACTGGGCATATCTGATGAATCCAATTCTATATCCTAATGATGATCTCAGCGATGGAACTTTTTCTAGGAGTACTCATCTATTTGAGAATTTTTTAATGAGAGTCTCAATGAATCTTGAGCAGCTTGAAAATGACGATCAAAGACAATATCTGAGGTTATCCCTTCTCTGAGAGCAAGCATGCCTGCTTCAGTACATAAACCTTCTCGATCTGCACCTGTGAAGAGTTCGATCTGAGAGCAAGCATGCCTGCTTCAGTACATAAACCTTCTCGATCTGCACCTGTGAAGAGTTCGATGCACTTTGCTACTTGCATAAGCTAACCTTCTCGATCTGCACCTGTGAAGAGTTCGATGCACTTTGCTACTTGCATAAGCTCCACATCTTCCCCGAAACTCATTTTCTTTATGTGGATAGAATTTCACAACGTTCTGCTTTGTCCGGTGGTGGCGGCGTACAACACCTAAGACATAATGAAAAAGTATATCATCATAGGTTATTTATTGAAAATACAAATTATTTGTACAGTCTAGACATCAATAATTTTATAGATTAAGCTTGCTAATGTTTTAATTGATTTAATTGTATGTCCTTTTGTCATTTCTGTTATCATATCGTTTTTCGCTTGGGTTTTCGTTCGTTCTATTTGTTTTGTGGGATCTTGTTATGTGCCATGCACGCTGACGTACACCTGTTTTTTCTGGTGTACGTCAGACTTAGAGGAAGAACAGGTCCAGCTGAGAGATCCCCAGGATTCATAGGATTCTCAGCAGGAGTGCCTTATAGACAGCAGAAGAAGAAGCCGAAGCCTAGTTTTTCTTTTATTAGCTGATAGTCTTAGTTTACTTTTGTAGTATTTCCTTCCTTTTTCCGATGGACAATGTAATTTATATTTCTTCATTTTTAGTTGTTCAATTTTGTATAAGGGCATGTTGACCCGAATAATATATCTTGGATGATACTCATTTATGACATGTATTATTTTATTCTGTATTATTCATTATATTCTTGCTATCTATGATCGGGGACCTATGAGTTCGCATTGTATTTATTTCTTGACGCTTAGCGTATTAGGTTGAGGAGAAATATTTATTTTTATTTATCCTCCTTAATCTAATACGTCGCGGGCTTATTCATGTTCTGATTCACCGGTATTTTAGGAAGCGGGGCGTGACAAAGAAGTTCTACTTTCATTACTTCTAAAAATATATAAAACAAACAAAAAAAATACTATTTCCGCTACTTCCTATTTCATAGTTTTGAAAGTTAGTTCTGTAACCTACTTCTAACTTTCAATACTTCCATTATCCAAACAGGCAACATTATAGAAACTAATGTAGATTTGGCGAAGGATTTGGTGAAGAACAAGAATTTTGGGAAACATGGATCAAGTTTGGTGTTGTTCGGTCGACCGCGGTGCTAGGCCGCTCGACCGAATACGTGCACGAGCTTAGTTTTTTATTCTGTATTTGGTGCGGTCGACTGCCAAACCCTATAATCAGTTTATGGGTTTTGTCATTGGTGCGGTCGACCATCCCGATCAACCGCCAAACCCTGTAATTGTTTTCTGAGTTCTGTCGTTAATCGCAGTCGACCATGAGCTTTGTACAGTCGACCACCAGTCGGGTCAGACCCAGTATTTGGTTTTGTGTTGATATATAATCCTAAACACGTTTTAGGGTTTTTAGGAGCTGTTGTGGGATATTTGGAGCACATAAAAGAGGTATCTTTTGGAGCTATTGGTTAGAGTTTTGTTTGAGAGATTAAGAGCTTTGTTGGTGAGATTAATTAGTGAGTTTGAGTGATTTATAATCTCAGTTTGTACTCTTCTTCTCTATTAGTGAAAACCCCATCCCCTTCTTGCCCCGTGGACGTAGGCAACTTACCAAACAACGTAATATTGGTGTGTTTGTGTTTGTACCATTATTTTGGTTTGTTTGGTCTTCTCTCTCAGCATTTGGTTTGGTTCCTCGAAGCACAACAATTGGCTTCTAGGCACAACAAGTGGTATCAGAGCTTTGGTTATGCTTAGGAATTGATGGAGGAGTAGATTGCTTTGGAAGATCGTCTAGGGTTTCAGTTGGTGATGAAGGTGGGATTTTTACTATTGTGGATCTTGTCTTCTGTCGTGTGGGGGTGAGATCTTTTGGAGGCTCTTGTTAGGGTTTTAGTTGGAGATAAAAAATCTACCTTTCTTGTAGTTTGGATCTATTTTCTTTCAGTTTGTTCTACATTGGTTTGTTGGTGCTTTGAGGAAGATGGCTGAGAAAGAAGGATTTCAGGCTGTGATATTTGAGTGTTGATACCGTGCATGGATTGGTGGGAGGTGCCTTGACCTGCAAATTGAAGTACTGTGAGCATATTGGTATGAGCAAGGAGACTGAGGTGGAGTTTGACACTTCTATTCACTGAGCGAGAGGTCTTCTAGGTGGTGTTCATTCAGGCATTTTGGGGCCTTCCAAGAAGGCATCATAGGAAGGTAATAGATATTTGATTTCCTGTGCTGGGGACTGTTCTAGGCATTTGTGGATTATAACCAAGTCCCGTTGGTATGAAGTCCTAGAAGTCAACAACAGGTAGAGGAAGTGCATTGACGGAAAGGTAACACGAAGTTTTGTTTTTGGTAGGAGTTCTTTTCTGCATTTGTACTGAGCTCATGGTAGTTTGAGACACTTTATTGAAGAGAAAATATTGGGGCGACGAGATGAGAAGACAGTTTTGATGGGTTGTTCTTTACTGGAGGAGGATGGACGTTTGATGTTGAGCATTGGTTTTGGTGTTTAGGCTTCGACATATTTGGGTCATTTTAGTCATAGGTTACCGACTACTGCGTTTAGAGATTTTGGATCTGGTGGAGATGCTTCAGATATTGGGTTGCTTCTGATGTTTGGTCGCCCAACATATGGTCACATTGAAGATGTGAGGTTTGATCCGAGTGCACATTTGGGATTCAGAGGCGTGTTTGATTATCAGATATTGGCTTCTGATTTGTTCTGAGTAGGTATGTCACATTTGACTCTCGGCGGGTGGAGAGTGTTAATCATATCGTTGGGATATCGCAGCGAGTGAAGGGTGATGCTACTCCACGTTGGGTGAAAATTACTCCACATACTCCAGATCATACTGTATCATTTGAGATTCTAGCTGAGGTGACATAGTTTGGGGATTATATTGATGTGGATGCAGATGATGAGTTAGTTGATTCGAGTGCAGCTGATAAACATAGTTCAGATTTTGATATGGCCGTTGGTTCACCTCAGATGGAGGTGTTTGGATCGTTTCACTTTGGGGCCATTGTGAGCGCTATCAATTGCAAATTTGTTGATGATGTTGGAGAAAAGTTGAGAACTCTTCTAGTTGATTGAGAGCCTTTGGAGGCCATTTGGGAAACTACGTGAATGCGTGATTCCTTGGGTAATAGGATACATAGGCAGTTATTTTATGATGCAGTCGGTTTGGTAAGTTGATACCAATGTTTGGAGAGTGAGCACATTCTCATTTGGGTCTTGACTTGTTGTGGATTGAGTCCGTTGTCGTGGATTTGTTCCACTTCGTACTGGACGCAACAAGTGAGACGTTTGGTTGGTATTGGTAGCACCTCAGTTTTTGAAAAACTTCACCGAGGTGAAGAATTGTAGATTTGGTGAAGGATTTGGTGAAGAACAAGAATTGTGGGAAACAAGGATCAAGTTCGGTGTTGTTCAGTCGACCGTGGTGCTAGGCCGGTCGACTGATACGTGCACGAGCTTAGTTTTTTATTTTGGATTTGGTGCGATTGACCGCAGCGGTCGACTGCCAAACGCTGTAATCAGTTTCTGGGTTCTATCGTTGGTGCGGTTGACCGCCAAACCCTGTAATTGTTTTCTGGGTTCTGTCGTTAGTCGTGGTCGACCGCGAGCTTTGTGCGGTCGACCGCCACTCGGGTCAGGCCTAGTATTTGGTTTCCTGTTCTGATTTGGTTTTGTGTTCACATATAATCCTAAATATATTTTAGGGTTTTGGGGAGCTGTTGTAGGGATATTTGGAGCACATAAAAGATGTATTTTTTCTGGAGCTATTGGTTAGGTTTTTTTTAAGAGATTAAGAGCTTTGTTGGTGAGATTAATTGGTAAGTTTGAGTGATTTGTAATCTCAGTTTGTACTCTTCTTCTCTATTAGTGAAACACCCAACCCATTCTTACCCCGTGGATGTAGACAACTTGCCGAACCACGTAAAATTGATGTGTTTGTGCCGTTATTTTGGTTTGTTTGGTCTTCTCTCTCAGCGTTTGGTTTGATTCATCAAAGCACAACAATTGGCTTCCGCGCACAACAAGTAAAGTATTTTCTAATCAACGGCAGTGATCCTCCGATGCTAGGGATGATATATAAGTCACAAAGTTGAGAGACGGTCCCTGGGAATATAGTTTTGATATTATGGCGTCCGTTTATTTAGATAGCAAGATCTATATGGCATAGCTTGAAATTAATGTGAAACTAATTTGTTAATGGGGCTCCTTGTCTCAAAAGTACAGTTGCTTTTGTAGCTCTTCATAGATTCCTTAAATATTACAAATAGTGTTAATTATTGTGCTATTGCTATGGTTTTTCTATAGAGTACTCATGGGCATTCTATAAGAGATGAGAGAGATAGAAGAAATGAATTATGCATAGAAATTAATGCAAATCAGAGAGGCCCATAAGCTATTCATTTCTCTCTATCTCACTCCTCTCTTATAAAGTGCCCATGTGCACTCTATAGAAAAACCGTATTAACATTCAATATCTATGAGAAAGTCCATAAAACATCATGCTTTTATAAAGAATAATTTCTCTTCATTCAGATATTTTTTTACTCTGAAAAAAGATTCTTATAAAAACATGGTTTTGAGCAAAGACCATAGCTTGCAGGCCATAATCATTTTTGACATCATGACCAAATTCATTGCTAATTAGCCGAAAAATTAAAAATCAAAACTAATAAAATAGGAAAAAGGAAAAAAAACCAAAGCACCTTATAATTTTGAACACCCAAGTTAAATTCAGTTTCACATATGTAGCAAGTTTTAATATTATGTATTGGTTTAGGAAAAGACATCTTTTACAGCCGTCGTTGTTTAACTATAAATAGGGGTGAGCACGGTTCGGTTCAAACCGAAAAAACCGACCGAACCGACCCGAACCGACCCGAAAAAAACGGTTTTATGAGTAAGGCGGTTCGGGTCGGGTTGACAATTTTTCAAACCAACCCGAACCGAACCAACCGAATATATTTGTGCCTTTGATTTGTGGGTTTATTACTGTGTTCGATCACCATGAATAGCAGTTGTAGGGAATTGATTCATACATAACCAATGTTCTAATGAGTCAGCTCCTTTTTTTTCTCCACAAAGACCAAACTCAAAGCTTGCTACACAAAGACAAAGCAAGTCCGTTACTAAAAAATTACAACGTTAGAGTCTAGTATTTAATCCAAAAGGACAAGTTACTTCACTTAAAAACAGTATACATACATGAGCAAGAATAATAAATTAAAGTGAAGTTTAAAAACAAATACATGTTGGCATAGGGTAATAATAATATATAAAAAATAAATTGAAGTGAAGTTATACTTGATGAAGTTAGAACCGAACAAACCGAACCGAACCGCACCGAACCGATTTGTAATGGTTCGGTTCGGTTTTGAATTGTAGGTGGTTCGGTTCGGTTGTTCAAATTTTGGTAAAAACCGACCCGAACCGAACCGTGCTCACCCCTAACTATAAATATGAGTTTCGGACTCCTCAAAGGCAAAATTTATCCTTTTTTTGATGTTAAATTTGACATCTTCTTTCTCTCTCTCTCTAAAATCCTAAAAGAAGAGAGAATTTCTAAGGCAAAAACATGGTAAAGTGCTAGTAATTCCATTTAATTTCCTCATCAAATTTTCTTTTGACACCAACACGAAGTTTTGACGAGTCTTTTAATTATGAAATAATTATCTATTTAAAAAAGCAATTTTATTCATAAATCCTTAGAATTATATGATAAGTTACTGATATCAATGCCATAGATGTGATCACCATGATAATTTATTCGTTGCCACTTTTTTTATGCTTTGAGCTCCCTGACTGCATAGTAAATTGCATGAATTGGTTATCTCGGGCTCACCGCAAAATCTCATTTTATACCGCGATCCCGCGCCAAGCTTTGACCGATGAACGGTTCTGATTTCACCACGACGACCGGCTTTGTTAAAGTTCTATTGGTGCCGTTGGAAACAAGAAAAATACATCCGTTGGTGCTGGGCCCAAGTGGCGCTGCTGATTTCTTTTTAGGCGCTGACATTTTGGCAGTCGTGGGTCCTGTTCCTCGGATGGTATTTGCGGATAGGCCCTTGCACGAGAAGTAATTGCATAGAATATTTTGATGATAAATATCGCAACGCAAATGACAGTAGAACGCAGTTATAGTTGAAGTTAATCGGTTTAATTTTAATGTCCTTTTATAACTTATAAATATAGTTGCACAATAATAAATACTTTTTACTTTCTTTCAAATGTAAACTTCATTTTCAACTCTAATAAGTTGTAACTTTAATTTTAGCGCAAGTGTGCGTAAGTCATCATTAGCTGCAGCTGAAAGTTTTTTGCAACTATAGTTCCATGTAATTGTATTTCTCAATAATAGTTAAATAAAAATTGCAATATATATAATCGCATGTAACTGCAATCACAACAAACCAACAAACCTAAAAAAAATTTATCGTTCTTGTAAGTTAATTTAATTTGGCCAAAAAAATGTTTACAGTGATAGGCTAATGGACGGACAAAGTGTTGGTGCACATTGTTATCTCCCATGTTTAAATTTACTCTCTCAAATTACAAAAGTGGACCATACGACTCCTTTTGCAAACAAAAGCAAGTCAGCGAAAACGAAGTTAGAAGGTCTGAGATATCAGAGCATCAAATAGAAAACTATAAGGTTGAGTAAGAACGACCAACATTCCAGTAAAATAATACATTTTTATTATTAACATAAGAAAAACCTAATATCTCCCCCGTCCCTATCTCATTAAAACTATGTAAAACAACTCCTTTAATAACGTAGACAATAGCCGTTGGTGCTAAAGTATGATGACTGCATTAATTAAGGTGCATATAAAATAGCAATTTGGCCTAAAGATGCTCTCATTACGGAGGTGAAGGGGGGATATCCTTGATTCCTCCCCACGTCTCCACTTCAACTCTTGTGTCTGAACCAAGCATCAAAGGACGGTTTTAATAAGCATTTACCTATGATTTTTTTTTTGTGCTATGTGACCCACAAATCTATTCTATTTGCAGATATTTATCCTATAGCTTTGCATATTTGCTTATTGAATATTAAATTTAAAGGTTAAATATTTAAACGCGATAGATTTCGGATAATAGGCAAAATAATTATTTTACAGGGAGAGAGTGGTTAGTTTTTTTTTTCCATTTTATCCATTCTCCGTTCGAAATTCAACGGTAGTTTTTACTCAATTCCGACGAATTTAGGAGTAAATTAGCTAGTATTTAGATTTAGGGGATAGATCTAAAAATAAAGTACTTTGAAGAGTAAATAGTTAAATACCAAAAATAATAGCCACAAGGGTTGACCAAGACTAATATACCCCTCGTCATTGAAAAAAATTCAAATACTATTTATCTCTCTCCAATATTATGAAAAGTTTTTTTTGTCATTTAGACAGCAATAATGACTTATATTCCACTAATTTACCAAACATTCTATTCTTAAAAATAGATTAAAATCCATAAAAATTACAGTTTGGTATTAGCCCTCTAATATTAATATTCTGCTTAGTCCCTCAAGTCTTTCAATATTATGAAACTAGCACCTCAAAAATCTTTAAGTGTTTTGAATTAGTCCTCCAAGCTTCATATTTTGAAATTATTCCAAACTAGTCCACCTATCTAGTACGTGATTGATCTTGGGGGAGAAATTCAAACATCGAAAGATTTTGGGGGGAGAGATTCAAACATTGAAAGATGATGGGGGCTAATTTCGAAAAAACCCAACAAAATAAATCGCCAACTGCCCCTTTTGCCGCGCGCGCCCATCACCCGCAATATCCCCACATTGACCTCCGTGATCGCAATTATTAACGCACACTGCCTCTCTCTCTCTCTCTCTCCCCATAAAAAGAGAGAAAAATAAAGTACTTTAGATAGAGAAAGCCGAAATCTCAAGCCAGAATCCAAAACCCCCCAACTACTCGTCCCTTAAACCGAAGCAAATCGTCTCTTACCTCCGATCTCCTCAATGCAGAAACCCTAACCTACGACTCTCTCCAATGGCGCGACCTCGCGGCCGCCTCCACCGCGCATCCGCCGCCGCCCTCCCCGCCGGAAAAACCTCATCTTCCCGCTGGTGCTGCTTCCTTCGCCGTCCCTCCTTCAAGCCCGACGTCAGATCGTCCTTCTCCAATCCAACGAAGCCCCTCAAAAGAGCTCTACAATGGCGCAGGATCCTTCCACGTCGCCGTCTCCTAGCAGCAAGCTATTAGGGATCATCGATCCCGACGAATCTGTCCCCGCCGCTCTCTCCATCGACTCCGATCCGCGCTTGCTCCGCTGCCGGAGATCAAGGAATCCCGTCGGATCCTCTATCGCCGCCTGGAATCGGTAGCTGAAGTGTCAGATCCACCGCGGAGGAGAGGGAGGAGCCGGGGACGAGGGGCGAGGGCGGGTGTTTGGATCTGAGGGTGAGGTTGAAGGGGAGAGATGGGAGGTTTTTGGTGCTTGAGCTGGATTCTAGGGTTTTGTGTGAGAGTAGCTTGTTCTTCAAGGGGATGGTGATGGGATCGAGGAAGAAGGATGAGATTGTGGTGGAGGATGTGGAGGATTTGGGGGCGTTTAGGGAGACGATGGAGATGATGTATGAAAAGGATTTGATGCGGTGGTTGGTGAAAGCTGGTGTTTCAAAATCGATTGATGTGCTTGAGGTGAGGCCTTGTTCTGCCCCTGTTTTCATTATCATGTTTGGATTTGGTTTGATTCCTTTATTCCAATTTTTAATTCAATTATGAATTAAAAAGTCTGGTATGTGTGACTGTGAAATTGATAATGTAAATTGGGAAATTAAATGGAAATTTTAGAAAATATTTGTGCCAAATATTTGTCAAAACGCAGTCTAGAAGAATGTCATTAGCAGACATCAATTGGGACTGTAAACATGATTTTAGCAGACATCAATTACTGTCGTTTGGTAGGATATATCATTTGTTAATATAATAGGTTGTTGGTTCATTGGCTCGTATGTGTAGATTTGATGCTCGAGTAGGAGCTGTCTAATTTTGTTCTCATTGGTACTTTGTGATCCTTTTCAAATAGGAAGATGTAGTTTATGCTGTGTTTAAAAACCATTTTTTTAAAGATACATTCAAATTTGAAACTAATCGTAGAAATAACTCATCAAATTTACTTTTTTAAATTTGATCTTTCGGATGAGTAGATTGGGGCAGGAACTTAATGAACGTTTTCTCTTTGTGGCATATGTGCTGCAACAAATTTCTCTTTGTGGCATATGTTCTCATTGGTACTTTGTGATCCTTTTCAAATAGGAAGATGTAGTTTATGCTGTGTTTAAAAACCATTTTTTTAAAGATACATTCAAATTTGAAACTAATCGTAGAAATAACTCATCAAAATTACTTTTTTAAATTTGATCTTTCGGATGAGTAGATTGGGGCAGGAACTTAATGAACGTTTTCTCTTTGTGGCATATGTGCTGCAACAAATTTCTTACCCTTAATGATCTCCCTAAGGGTTTCTTGCAAGTAGTTGTGCTGGATTCTTGGTATGCATGAAGTAATTAAGAGAGCATCGACATATGGGAGAAAGTAGATAGGACAAGATTATAGGATACGAGGAAGAAGAAGAGGATTTTTTTTTTTTGGGTGGGGGGGGGGGGGGGGAGAGAGGGAGTTTTAATTAATCACAACTAAAGGGGAAAAAATTACAAATTTTTTTTTTGCGGAAAGATGACGGAAAAGACCAAATGCCATTTTCAGATTATTTGGACAAAATGCAAAACCTTCATTGTTTAAGTCATATTTTTTTCCTAGAAGATCTCAGTTGACTCTTCATTTGAAACCTTTGAAATATTTACGAGTCTATTTTTAGTTAAAACTAGTGGTGCTTGCATCGGATTTCGCTACAAAAAGTTATTACCAAAATATTAGGGGTTGGCCTGGACTGTATGAAAACATTAAGTTTTCTAAGATACTTCAAGCTTGTTTATGTTATTAATTAAGTCCAAATAGGTCTTTTAGTTTTTCTATTTTACTGATGAGTTTTTAAGTTTTCAATGTGATCCTAATTAATACCGACGCATAATAAAAGGATGGATGAATGCAAATTTTAGATAGAAAGCCTATCACTCTTAAAGAAAACACTAAAACAGACATCACGACCTTTGAAAAAAATAACATTTCAACTAGGCTTAGCCGCCACTCTGGAGATACAAATATTATCACTCTAGAGGGATGACGATTCACCACTCTGAGGATCTCATCTTAGAGATAAAAATAACCTTCAAACTCGATGGAAGTCACCAAATAAGTATAGAGCAAAGGAAAGCACAATACTTCAAGTTTAAATCAAATTCAAGTCCATCTTTTTTCATTAGATCATTAATTTATGTATAGACTTGGAAACATTCTTTTAAGCAATGGCGGAGCCACATACAAAGTTGGAAGAAAGTAGATAGAACAAGATTATAGGATACAAGGAAGAAGAAGAGGAAGGTTTTTTTTTTTTTTTTTTTTTTGGGGGGGGGGGGGGGGGGGGGGGGTAGAGGGAGGTTTAATTAATCACAACTAATGGGGAAAAGCTTACAAACTTTTTGCGGAAAGATGACAGATAAGACCAAACGCCATTTTCAGATTATTTGGACAAAATGCATAACCTTTGTTGTTTAAGTCACATTTTTTCCTAGAAGATCTCAATAGGCCATTTGAAGCCTTTGAAATATTTACGAGTCTATATTTAGTTAAAACTAGTGGTGCTTGCATTGGATTTCGCTATAAAAAGTTATTACCAAAATGTTAGGGGTTGGCCTGGACTGTATGAAAACATTAAGTTTTCTAAGATACTTTAAGCTTGTTTATGTTATTAATTAAGTCCAAATAGGTCTTTTAGTTTTTCTATTTTACTGATGAGTTTTTAAGTTTTCGATGTGATCCTAATTAATACCGACACATAATGAAAAGGATGGATGAATGCAACTTTTAGATAGAAAGCCTATCACTCTTAAAGAAAACACTTAAACACACATCACGACCTTTAAAAAAATGACATCTTAACTGGGCTTAGTCTCCAATCTAGAGATACAAATATTATCACTCTAGAGAGGTAACGATTCATCACTCCATCTTAATACCTATAGTTTCTCTATTTTAACCATCAAATCATTGAAATTGCTATTAAATCCTTCATTAATTCTTTCTCTTAAAAAGTCAAGGTTATCGATAGCGGATAGTGTCATGTAGCAGCGAGACATGTTATTTGTGCCTATAGTGGCAAAATAATAACAAATAGCGTATACTCAAATAGCTGTCCAATTTAAACATATTTAAATATTCTAAAAATAAAAAAATTATAAAAAATCTAAAATTTATACAAATGCATATTTGATGATTTATAGAGATCCTAAACATGAAATAGATGTGTAACAATTGCATTATATTAACAAAGTCCTGTAAAGAATAAAAAAGCGTACCTGTTGATAATTTATAGAGACGGTGGAGAAAGATTCTAAGATGGTGGTGGAGGCTAGGTCTATGCTCCTGACAGTGGGGGAGGAGGCTTCTGAGCTCAGTAGATTTAGTGGACTGGAGGAAGAGGAGCTTGAAGACGTCAATTAGGATTTGATGCTCGCCGGAGGAAGAGCTCGTTGGGGGAGGTGAAAGGAGGAAGGGGCGGCGGCTAGGGTTTCAAGTTTGAGACAAACACGAGAGAGAGGGGGGAGCGATGCTGTAGGGTTTTACTTCAAGTCGTGTCGGGTTCAGGTCGCGAACGGGTTAGGATTTAAAACCAATAGCCTATTAAGAATAGTGTTGTTTAGCGGTTAAAAGTGCTTTAAGTGTTAAACAATACTATTTCACGCTATTCTCTACGATTGTGAGAGAATAGCGGATTCTCTCGCAATTTAGCACCGCAATCCATGATACCCTAGT